AAGTTTATGGAAAGAAATTACATTGGAGTTGAGCAGAGTGAGTAGAAATTACTAGGCAAAACTTTAGGTGAACAGGATTCTTGGAAAATGGAACAATACTTAGAAATGTGAAGAAACAGAAGAATCTGAAAGCCAGTTTAATGGGAGCAGAATAATTAAGAGGGTAAGGAACATCAAGGAACATACAACATGGTGGAGCAGTAGGCAGAGTCTACATCATACAGGGCTTTGTACACTCCACGAGTGATCTAAGATTTTATTCTAAGTGTAATGGACAATTGGTGTGTTTTATGTAGTAAAAGAGAGATGAAAGTGTGGACTGAACAACTGATTAAGGGAGAATTAATAGAAAAATTCCCTGGAAAAATAATTACTTACTTTCTACATAGTCAATCAAGGATAAAGGGATATGTTGGCTCAAACTCGTTTTAAATAGTAGTATCTACCATCCAAAATTAACAAGACTTAACATTTATGACAAACACTCAGAAAAGTTCTGTCATAGTTGCTTTGTAAGAAATAAAGCAATAGAAATTGGGTTGTGTTTCTGTTTCTAGAAATAACAAAAAAATGTGTTATATATTAAAACTTAGGGAAAATATTGCTAAACAGACCAGGAGGTAAGAAATGTGCAGAATCTCAGGATTAAATAAAAATGGAGATATCAAGAGAAAGCCAGTCACTGAAACTGACTCTTATTCCCATGGTTTATAATGAAACTTGGGAAACCTGCATCTCTGTTTGATGGCTGGCACGGACCACTGAGAACCCAAGATAAATCCTAGGAGTCAACTAACCAGAGGGTCGAATAAATGTTATCTTTTTAAAACTGGGATTCAAAAAGCTCTAAGCTCACATAAGAAAGAACAACAAATAAAACTCAAAATAAAGGAAATAGTAGCAAGAATCCTTGGTAGACCTGACCTTTGATGAGACAGAGGAGAAAATAAAAATCTCCATTGAGTGTTTGTGACCAACAGGAGCTCTCAGTTAAGTTTGCAGCCAAATGTTTGGCTAACAGTCATGTCTAAAAGAATTGCAGGCAAAAAAAAAACTTACTTAAAGCAGTTCAAAGTTAATAGTCTTCCTATTAACAATACTAATACTTTTTGAATGAAAGCAACTTCATCCCAGTTCTTAAAAAATTTCAACAAATAAACTTCCAAAGTCTGTGAACTCCAAGGTAAAAAAAAGTCACAAAAACACAAAACAAATCACCATGATTAAAAGCCAGCCAAGAAAAGAAGAAATTAAAAAATACTCAGATATTTATATTATAAGGCACAAATTTCAAATAAGTATAAGAAGTGTATTTAAAATATTAAAAGAAAATAATGAAAAATATAAACAAGGAATAAGAGATAACAAAATGTTACCAAGAACTTCTCTAAAGAGAAAAAGGTAATTTATATTAAAAATCTCTGCTAAAGGAAATTCTAAACAATATATTTGTGATTGGAAGTTAAACATATCAAAAAGAAGTTTTGTGGTTTGAAAGGTAGATTGAACAGGGCTACAGTTAAGCATGTGGATAGATGTAAAAAGGTATTAACTTTATAAAACAGTAATAATTATTTAATTTTTGAAAAGTTAAAATGCAGAACAATAATTCACTTATAGAGCAATAATAACATATAATTAGCAAGCCATCTTTTGAGAAACTTGAAAACATACTTCTAATCCTTGAATTCCTTTGGAAAGCTGATTCGGTCTCACTGTTTTTCAATATCTCCTATACACTAACAAAACTTCTATTTCCAACTTAGATCTCTCTTCTGAACTCAAGTCTTAAACCCAATTGCCTATGTGCCAAACACCATTGGATGTTGAATAAGTTCATCAAATTCAATGTATTCAGAACTGGACTCCTAATCTTTTCTTACCAACATTTCTCTCACATAGTTTTTCTTATATTAGTCTGTCAAGTGATGGAAACCCTTCTCTAGTTGCTCAGAATAAAAAACAAAAAGAGAAACAAACCTGGGTATCTTGATATAAATA